TTAGTGTCAGCAAAACACATTCCACAAGAAGCCAGAAATCATGCAAGTAAGGCCATCTTCATAGCCCGAGCCTAATCTTATCTACTGGAAAGATAACCAAGGGTTATATCTTAGGTTTATAAGCCTTTATATAGCATTTCAAAATCCAGGATGATTTTGTTTTTATCGCTTAACTCCTCCATTTGCAGGTAGAAACCATTGTTTTTGGCTAGTCTATGTATTGCTTTGCAGATTAGGACATGGGCTAATTGAAGGGTGCCCTTTCTATCAGTTGGGTGTCCATTTTGTCTATTTCTGGGGCATGATTCCCAGGAAGGTCACTCCGTGGTGTATAATTGTCATACTCAGAAGTTGGGAGTAAAGGCCACTGTTGTCTTTGGGGTGAGTTCCTTCGGCCAGAGATGGAGCAGTGTGAAAGGATGTACCAACCTGTGTGGATTTACACAGTTGCAGAGTTTTTACTGATCCCAAGCTACAGGTTAGACTTCTTCAGCAGATTATGTGAAAGAGGGAATCAAGCCAGAAGTGTGCATAAGAGTGAGCAGTAGAGAGTAGTACATCACGTACTTGGACCGATCTGTTCAGCTTCTGGGCTCTCAGAGGAAACTTCTCTGTCAGTTAGGATTTTAGGTCTGCTTCATGGACTCAGTCTAAAACCAAAGCTGTTTTTACTCACAGGGGTAAAGCTTTGCTAAAAGTCAGAGCAGATTGTCAAGCAATTCAGGATCTGTGTAAGAATACTCCACATAACAGCATACGCTCCACCCAGGCATTGTCAGCTGTGTGCAGAGGTGACAAGGGAACACAGTTTGAAATAACTGGAGAGAAGTTGAGAATGGTTGAGAATTTGTCTTGGGGAAGATTCACCTAGTAATCATCCTGTTCAAGTAACTTTCCTCTAATGATGAGGATCTTCTTAAAGTTTAGCAACATGTTTAACCTGGAATATCATAGCAGCAAGCCTCTTATGGAATTATTTTTATTTCTGTATAGAACACAGATTGAACTGCTTAATTCCAAATTTGTATGGAGGAAGCATGAAGGCACTGCAATTCAAGACTCTTGTGTCTTTTGCTAACTTAAAAGTAATGATGGACCAGGTGTCACTTTCCTAAATTGTGTGTTTTATTTAATTTTTCCACTTCATGGGAACATAACAGACGTACGTAGTGTAGATAAAGAATATTTGTAGCCATCATCTTTGTGCTTTTCATCAATGCAAATTCCATCTATCATGAAAAGCACTGGAAATTTTTACTTTTTACTTTTGGATATATGTAAATCATTAGAAATAAAACCAAAGTTATGCCTATCCATCTTAATCCATTTTTTTCCCCTGTATTTTATATGTCATTTTGTACTCACTTTGCATCCATGCATAAAATAATTGCATAAAATAATAAAAGAATGCTGATGTGGCATTTGTTGAGAGAATTTATTTGTTAAGGGACAGATTTTCTGGAAGTATTTGAAGAACCAAGAAATAATGAAGGTCATCTACTGAAGTTTTCAAAAATTTCTAAGAAAGAAATTGAAATATGCGAGAATGGAGAGCAAGCCCTTAGGAGGCTTTGTAAAGCATTCCAAAAGGTGTGTGTCTGTCCTTGCACATTTGGACCCTCAGCAATACAACAGAATGGCCCACCCACCATATCATGCTTCTGTCTGATCTAAAATATGAACTTTCTTCTTAAATGACTTATTCAGTTGCTTCATGAGATGCAAATTCAATGAGTGTCCTTGCTTACACCTCAGGAGAAGGTGTCGTGTTGCACATTTAACTTATACTATGAGGAATCTTCACAAGCAAAAAGACAAATGTAATTTGTTAGAATTTGTTAGAATTTGTTAGAATTTGTCTTAGAATACAATCAAAGGTAGTCAGTGCTGCTTTCAGTTAAGTAAAATTTGGTGAAATTACATGAAGTAATAGAAGTTGCTTTTTCCATGTCTTCGTGTCTTCCATATTTTGAATTAAATCCTGCAAATATTGAGACTAGTTCCCAGCACCTTCCATTCCTCTGTTTCAGTTACCTTTGCTCTTGAGGTAAAAAACTACTGCTGCATTTTTCCCCATTAAAATGCTCAGTCTCCAGAGGGAGCTGCCTGCAGTATCCCATGGGGCTGGGCACAAAGCCTTATCAACAAGGGCTGGCCCTGCCACCCTCACCCCTGGCAGGTAGCACCTCACTGGCACAAATGGCCTTTTCAGCTGCCTTTTATTACTCACAAAGAAAATGTTGCTTAGTGTGAGTTGGGATGACAGAGTTGGGCCCTTGGTGAACAAAGAGTCCAGGATTATCATTCCAAAAAGCCCCCTGAGGCCTGTATCAAGAGTTATTAACCACTGATTCAGCGCATAGCATTATTTTGTAGGCTTAAGTGGGATTTCAGTGTTATATTGGGTCTTGTGTCTGTGTAGGGGTAAATTTTGCCCTCTGTTATTTTACCTTATAAATTGCTGTTACAATTTCTCTTTTATATTGTTGCTTAAATCTCTTTCAAAGGTGCAATATCTCGATCCACTGCTACCTTTTTCTTTCCTTATGATAAAGGATAAATAAATTTGCAAATCCACATATGACTGAAACAAAAGGCAAATAAGCTCTGCATGGTTTGTGTTTGGTGAGGAATACCTCATTTTGATGATTTCAGTCATCATTCATTTGAAAAGCAGAAACTATGATTGTTAAGCCTCGTTATTTTCAATGAAGCCTGACAGTTTCAAGGTTAAACAGAAGACAGCTACTTTCATCCCAGTGGTATTTTTCTTCAAACATGGGCAGCTAGCTCTTCGCTAACTTGTTCTGCTCTGGTGTGCAGTGCCATTGCTTGGTCACAGAGTGGTGCACATCTAAGCCCATCTAAGCCCAGTTCTAGGACAGTGTGTAAACTGTGACATCCAGCTTGTGTTTCCCCAAAAGGAGCCTCAATTACTGAAGTTACCCCCCCCCGCCTTGTATAAGCCACACAATATTTCTTTTTAACTGAACAGTGATTTAAATAAGCCATGATCTCAGATTTTACAGGTTTTATACTGTCTCCCAGAAAAACAATTTTCAGCCCAAACCTTCTGTTTGTCCAAACAGTTTGAAATGTTTCTCCAGTGCTTTTATGTCTCTGAAGTACATTAGAGAGGGTGCTAGTGTGAAAGAGACCTCCAGCAAGAGTTAAAATGGCTGAGAAAGCTGCTGTGCTTCTGAATACACATACTATTGAAAGAGAACTAATCTGCCATTGCTTTCTAAAATTGCACATGGACTGACAACCAGTGTAACAGGGAAACTGCCTAATAAGAGAGGCTGACAAAACTGTGACCGATCAGTAACTCAGTTAAAATTCTTAGAACTCGGAAAACATTGATGTATCCATGTGAGAAAACTTCCAGGAGCAAATAACTTGTGAAATCTCTGACTTTATACTTGCTTGGACTGACAGCACTGAGTTATGGCTGTTGGGTGCTGCTTCTATAAAGACAAAGTGCAGTAGATGTTATTTTACAAAACCGGGGGGAAATGCACTAGTTGGTTAAGAAGGAAAAGTGACTATTGGAAAACTGAAGGGAGAGTAGTACCTAAGCAGCAGTTTTTTTACCTGTGCATTCATTCCCTCAGAGTCCATGTGGAATAGCTAGAACGAGCTGAACTTTCCACATACTTTTCCTGGTGTCTGATGATTACATTTGGGTGGTGAATTCTTAATCTCATTTCAAGAATTAAGTCACCTGGTGAGTACAATGAAAGGTGTAGCTTCATCGTGCTTGGTGGTTCCTGGAAAACAAGAGTGTTTCAATACATACCAAGCACATTAGTCATGACTTGTGGCAATGAATCCATGTTGACTAGTTTACGTGCACTGAAATTACTAATGCATTCATGAGATAAAATACATTTTGCAATTTTGATAAAGTTGTGTTATTTTTATTTCCTATCTGCATTTCTCATGTTGTATAATATTTTTTTTAATTGTCTTTCAAGATAAGAAAAAATTGGTCAACTTTGTAACAATGAATACTTGAATCTGTTTGAACCTGCAGCTCTGTTTATCCATTGTGGAAGCTGTGTGTATAATACTCTGGACATGACTCTGAAAGTGTTCTGCTACACACAGTGTCTGCTTTTATACAGATGGTTTATTTGTGGGAGAGCTTTTGCTGAAGAATGTCTTAAAATACAGACAAACTGAAGAAATAGCTTGAATGCATGATTTTTGGAATGCTGAAGATAAATGTGTGTAGATGCAAAATGATGAACAAATTTAGTCCTTTGCATTTTTCTACATATTTTAACAAAAGAAAGATCAAATTAAGCCAGTGAGATTCTGAACATGTTTATAATGTCTGTGCCTTAAAACTAAGAGGATTTGGCAGCTCTCTGTCCTACTTATTTAGACTGTTAATTTTTCTGTAGTTGTATTGACACAAGAATCATGCGAGCCACCTTCAAAGTATCATACACGTCCTCAGAAACTTCATTTGTTGAGTATTTTGAAAAAATTTTTACATAAAACACATTGGCTTTTAGACACAAATTTATAAGCTGGACTGTAAAAGTATCTGTTGGATAATGGGCAAGATAGTTTTAAGGGGAAACAATAGTTAAGTGCTGCATTTAACAAGAGCCATGGACAGCTCATATTTTTAAGTGTGCAAAAATTAATTGTCCTGCTTACACCAAAGTGTGTATGTACCACGGGACTGCTGCACGGGATTTTGTGTTAATGCCATACAGGGACCTCAGATACTTCATGCACTACAAAGGCAAAGTGAGTTGATATATATCACTGACTGCAGATGGGTTGGTTTGTAGGTTAAAAAGTTTTTCACAAGTTGTCTGCATTTTCCCTTAATGTCTGTCTTTTACAGTAGTGCTTTGTTTCTGAGCGTGACCACCACCAGGACAGCTTGGTTCAGTGCAAACACTGTCTCTTTCAGCCAGAACATTCCTAACATTAGCTTCCTTTTTTTTCCTCTCCTCTCCCTCTCCCCTGCCCCCTCTCAGGTTGGAAAGGCTGGTGGACGTCCTGAGGAAGAAGGTTGGAGCAGGGACCATTAGGACCGTGATCTGATTGAAAGCTGTAGTCTAAGGAAGCTTTCACATCTGGTGACCAGGCTGCTTCATTCAGCACTGTGTAAACACTGAAGCCTTAACTTAGCAAACAGTTGTTAGAAGTGGGACACTCCAGTGACATTCCAAGCTGAGATAAAATCAAATCATAAATGTTTAACTACTTTGCTGCTGAGTTCTGTGATTTGTTAAAATGTTTCACTGCAAACATGTATTTGTTTTTAAGCAAATGCATTGTGGCACTGTAGATTGTGAAAAATTATGTAGATGCTTATTTAACAGTCTGTCCTGTCAGTGTTAGTAGACTGTAGTCTGCTGCAAGGCACAGCATGGTCATTTTTTTAAATACTGCAAGCTTCAGGTTCAAAATGCTGCAAAGCAGTTTCAAAAATTAAATTCCTTATTTTATTTGTGAGACTGCAAATAGTCTAGTATTTGTATGTTAAATATATTAATTGATAAAGTAGGTTGGCATTCAAGAAATATCTCTCTCTGGTATATTGGATATTTTTTCCTCCTTACTCATAGCCCATTGAATTGCAGGTAGTAACTGTTGCTACATCAAAAGGCAAGATAAATGTATAGCTTTATACAGCAGTTGAATAGCTTCTGCTAGTACATGGCATTTTCAGTGTACATTAAAAAGAAATTTACATTTAGGTTTCACTGGAAGTATAGCTTAAAAAATTGCAACATGAAAGCCTTGTGACATTGTACAGTATCTCAGACAATGGAGAAAGTTTCCTGTATTTTTTTTAGTCACTCCACTTTCCTTTTATATGAGGGAAAAGGTCTCAGATTTCAGAAAGCACCTTATAAATTAAAAATTCACCTTTTCAGTGTTTGCCTCTTCTCATCCCGTTCCTACAAGACTTTTTGACTGCTTCTTCTAGACCTCTAATTGCTCTGAGGTGCAGGAGTACCATCCAGGTTGGGTTGGAGTCCAAGGTGTCAGTCCTTAGCTTTTTGTACTCATGAAGGACTTAAAGGCTGCAGTGTAGACTTACAGGGAGGGGAGAAACTGAGGGCTGGGGAGGAAAATTTGGGGTACACAGACATGATAGACTTTGCAGATAAGTGAGAGTTGTACTTAGAGTTATGTTTGTGACCCAGCCATCTCCCTGTGTGAACAGTCAGGTCAGTCCTTATATAATCCTGCTCAAGAAAGCAGCTTGAATCTCTGAGCACCCCAAATTGAATAAAGAATCTCAGCAGCCAGCTGGGCTTTAGTGCCTCCTCAGGAGTAGCCAACTCAGGCAAGGTGGATGTAGCTCCTAAGGCTTCTATTTGTCTGCTTTGCTTTGTGTTTAATGTTTTTTTCATGTGTTACCTCTTAATGCTTGCTTGTACAGATGTTGTGATAGTGCAGTCTAGCTGAAGAAAATTAAATTTTAATTTTAGGTGTAAAGAGAGACATTTTAATGCCTGGGGTTTTTTTCAAACACTTAAATGTTAAACCTTCTTCATCTGCAGACCTAAGCCCCTCCTAGTTTCAGCTGACCAAACCTAACCTCTTGCAGGGAGATAAGTAGCATCCCTCCAAGCCACATTTACCCAAGTCACTTCTAGAAACTTCTGAAGTGCTCCTTTTTGACCTTTGGTCAATCCTAAGATAGCCAGTGAGTCTGGAGCCTCTTCCCCACACCTACTCAGTGGGAAGAAATTTTAATGCTCCCAAACCAGAGGATTGCCACCCCCCAGATTCCAGCCCCTTCACCATCTCCCATGTGCTGCTGTTCAGCTCTTTGGGTGACTCAACAGCTCTTTGTCCTGCTGTCCTCACTGAGCCTGGTGCACAAGGTGGATGACATGATCTCCTGAGCTGTCAGTGCTATTGAACCATTTTTGCTGTAAGGAGGTAGTGAGGAGGAGCAAAGACAAAAGTGTAAGGACTACCATGCTGTGCTAGACCAAAGCCCAAAGACTGCCTTTGGCAATAAAAAAGAGAAGGTGCCAGGAAGGGGTATAAAGTCAGGCCAGCACTAGTGACCACTCTCCCAACTGGTCCAATTGTCCCAGCAATTTGTTAGTTAGAGGATTTCTAAGCCAGAGGTGGTGTCTTTGTATTTAGCAGCATTTTTTCATGACATGTTTTTTAATCTGTTTAAATTGTTTGTATCTACTTGTTCTTTTCACGAGGTTTTATGCAGTTAATGATGCATTGAGTGAAGAAATACTTCCTTTTCTGTTATGAGCCAGCTGCATTCATTTGCTATCACTGAGTTTTTGTAGAGAGAAATGGTGACAAACCATTCCCTATTCATATTGTTTCCATATCTCATGTGATTTTACATGTTTGGCATCATTTCCCCCTTTTCTTTTCCCGAGAGAACCCCTGATCTTATTTAAAGGATCTGTCTCGTATTTTTAATTGGCTTTGTCATACTAATCTGTTTTTTCCAGCTCTGCAGTGTTTTTACTGAGATGCAACCAGATTTCTGCTAGTGTTCAAGATACAAACAAAATGTGACTTTAATGGTTGTCATAATGATGTTGTCCATTTTATTCTCTGTGCTATTTTGTAAGCATTTTTAGCATTGGACTTGCTTTATGACAGGTTATTTATTGGTATTAATATTTCTGTAGCAAAACAACTCTAGATCTCCTTCCTCAGTTGTTATGTTCAGCTCAGAGTTCATCATAGCTTGTATGAAGACAAAACTGTTTTCTGAATAACTTAGCATTTACGGGTGCTGAATGTCACCTGTTTTTTGGCATTCCCTGGTGACCATGAGCTCTTATTCCATCTCTTCTCACAGCTCCTCTTTAATACTTACAGTAGCAAAGTATCATCAGCATTTCCATGCTGAATATGGTTTTATGAAACACTGCCATTTCCAAATTAACACCCTCTTCAAGGTGATTTCTTAGTTAGGTTAAACATGGCCTCTGGGACAAAGATCCCTGTAGGACAATATGGTAGCTTTTCCTTCACTGTGAAAATGAAACATTTATTCTTACACATTGTTTTGATTAACTTTGTAGCACTTATTTTTCAGTGTATAATTATTAGTTATTGATTGGCAGCTTTTATGAGGAAGTTGCTTGCTACTTTGGAAATGTAAGTTTACTAAATCAGGGCTTGTGCTCCATGCATGAATGTGCTAAGTTCCTCCTTCCCCTAGGAGTGTCAAGAGCTCCTCACCTTTCCCCAAGTATTTCTGCATTCAAGTGAATAATCGTGTGAATGCAGGCTTCCTACAGCCAGACTGTTTGACCTCCTGCCTCTTGTGTGTCCATTGGCTTTGTTTGGAAAAGCAGGATGGGCTATGCAAAAGCCATCCAGCAGGCTTGATGTCAGATATATCTGATTGCAGGTGATACTTGATTTGGTAAAATTAAGTGGAAGTTCTGCTCTACAATTTTCCTTTTGATGCATTATACCTAAGGTGAAAAAATAGTTCCTGTCTCTGTCTTCTGTCTTGCACCAAGCAGCCTGGAATTCAGTGATAATTTAAGTTAGGGTGTTTTGTCCCTTTGTCCCATTATGACAAATGTGCATAAATGTATTTGAATCATAATTAAATCAGATTTGTTGATTTTTAAAATTCAGCTGGAGGTGGTTTTATTCTTTGGAAAGGACTGTGTGAAATATACTGTGTTGAGAGTAGAAAGATTCAAAAGCAGTTGGGTTCTCCCTCTTCCTTGCAAACAACCTGGTGTGTGGTCTTTGGCAAATTCCTTAGTGACTGTCGTTAAAGGCATGCAGTCCCTGAAGAGCTTCCTGGGCTCCTCTGGGGAATTGCAAAAGTATCTATGCGGTTAATGTCAAAACACTTTCACTTCTTCACCTGCTGAAGTGAGCAGCATAAATCACATAGGTCTGGTAGTGGAGGCCCAGCCTTTAGTGCCCTCTGCAGAACTTCTGGTCCTGTTGAGCCCAGTCTAACTTTAGCCTTTCAGTGTAATGAGGGGAGGAAATCTGCTCAGTAGAAATAGGTGATAACGACAACATGGGTTAATGGGCTTATCATATGGTTTATTCATTGAGAACTGATTGATGCCTGTGCAGAGCTCTGAAAGGGAAAAGAATTCTGCTCCCATACAGCAGACAAATGCAATTGTCACTTCTTTCCTAATATATGTGACAAAGATGAGATTGCATCCGATTATGTACCAGGAGTAGTAATTCATTTCCCTTCTGATGGAAAAACAGTTCATGATGAAAGGTGGCTCACCACAGGTGATTCTTATGGTGACAGCTGTAATTACTGGTCAAATTAGGGTCCCTGCTGTCTTGAATAGAACAGAGATACTCAGAAATGGTTCTTCCCCTGTGAGATTTTGTGTGTCTCTCTTGATGATCCTGCCACACGTTATGCATTGGGAGACATTTCTGGTATATGCCAGGGTAAAATATGTAAATAGCATCATGTTGGCTCGGGATAAGAGCATTATTAATGCTTTTCAGCACTGTAATTATATTCCTAGTAAGCCTTCCCTAAGCCCTCACTAATTAACAATATTGTGACAAATCAACTTTAACAGAAAAGAACTGTGGCCCTTTAGTCTTTTAGTACTATTTTTCCTGCAGCCCACAGCTGAAAACTGGTGGCGTGGCTTTCTGTACTAGTGTTGGGAAAACTGCTGATATTTGAAAAGTTCAAAGTCAGCTCAGTCTTGTTAGTGGAGTCCTGTAGCTGAAGTCTGTTTTATTCCTCTTTAAATATATTCACAGCAAAGTAAGATTCATTGGTTAATCATTAATGTTAAGGAATATTTAAAACTCTTTTTATAAATAAGCTATCATATTGAAATGGTTTAGTGATGTCAGTATGTGGTCGTATGCACATTTATTTATTTGCTTATTCCAAATCAGGAATATTTTACAAGATTGACTTTATGTATATTCTTACCAGGTGATCAAGAGTTGTAACATCTTTAATCCATGTGCACAAATGAACTTGCTATCTAAATGTCAGGATTTCTCTGTGCTTTTATTTCCTTCAATTAGAATAAGGCTGTTGGTTTTGTTGGGTTTTCTTCTTCTTAACTTACACAGCTGAAGATTTTCGTCCCATGCAGGAATCAGCTGTGAGACACATGGAATCACCCACGGGCAGTTTCTCTTGCTGCGACCGCAGCGTTACATGGGCTGACTCTTATCGCTGTAACATTTCACATCAGGTCTGCAGAACTGGACTTTCTCTGTTTGTTCTTCTCATGCATTGGTAAATAAAATGTATTCACAAGTTCAGAAAGACAAAGTAGTGTTCTCATATTGGGTCGATTATAAGTCAGCTGTTGAGCTTCAGTGTTCTAAACATTTCATTCTTCAGTTTTGTTGGGAGCCCACGTGTTCTGGGAGGCTTTTAAACAAATACTTGAAATGGTTGAGAGATTTACATTGCCAGTGCCTAGCTAAATATGTAGTCTTTAGAAAAGACATGGTTTATTTTGGCACCATTTGACAAACTCAAATATTTTAAACATTTGTTAAGTTTGAGCTTGCACATTTGAACTAAAAGTTTGCATTCCAAAATTGCATCTCAGGTTACCTGTCTCTCTCTCTTTTGTATTTTATAATCCTTTTATTAAAATAGTCTGCAAAAGAAGTTGAGTTTGGAGTGTTGTTTTTTATTGTTAATTGTAAAATATTGTCATTAAAAATCAATTTTAAGGTAACATGTATCTGGTAACTCTATTCAACTAAATGTCAGAAATACAAAGCCAGAAGTGTTTTCAGAATTTAGGATTTTATGTTGGTAGCCAAGACTTGGT